GACCAGAAAAAACTCTTTCCCCTTTTTCTGGATGGGAGGACACAAGAAGGTAGCTGTCTCCAAGCCGAGAAGAGAGCCCTCACTAGAACCCAAACATATGGGTGCCCGATCTTGAACTTCAGGCCTCCAGAACTATAAGAAATACGTTTCTGTTTTTATAAGCCACCCAGTCTGTGGTACATGCTATAGCAGCCTGAACTAAGACACCCAGCTAGGGCTAAAGTGACTGATCTCCTGAAGTTCCTCAGAATAAGTGGGGAGGCAGTCCCTGACCTATTGGCAGAGGCCTTGCACTCGTCCTTTCTGTATTTCAGCGAATCTTTAATACTTTTTTTTTTTTTTTTTTTTTTGAGATGGAGTTTCACTCTTGTTGCCCAGGCTGGAGTGCAATGGCGTGATCTCGACTCACCTCAACCTCCGCCTCCCAGGTTCAAGTGAATCTCCTGCCTCAGCCTCCCAAGTAGCTGGGATTACAGGAATGCACCACCAAACCCGGCTAATTTTATATTATTAGTAGAGACGGGGTTTCTCCATGTTGGTCAGGCTGGTCTCGAACTGCTGACCTCAGGTGATCCATCCGCCTCAGCCACCCAAAGTGCTGGGATTACAGGTGTGGGCCACCACACCTGGCCCTGAATCTTTAATACTCTTGTAGCAAAATTTTCCTTTATTGTTTTCTTGGACTACATACTCATGACTACTGTTATTTTTTACTATCATTAGTTTCTAACAACTAAATATCTTAAAATGTTCTTATTTAAAGTTTCTGGGTGGGTGAATTATTATTAATTAATTTGTTTATTTATGAAAGAGTCTTGCTCTGTTGTCCAGGCTAGACTGCAGTGGTGCAAACATAGCTCATCACAGCCTCGAACTCCCAGGCTCAACCAATTCTCATGCCTCAGCCTCCTGAGTAGCTGTGACTATAGGTGCATGCCATCATGCCTGGCTGAAACACTCAATTAACTTATTATTTATTTATTTATTTATTTTGAGACAGAGTCTCACTTTGTCATCCAGGCTGGAATGCAGTGTCACAATCTTGGCTCAGTGCAACCTCTGTCTCCCAGGTTCAAGAGATTCTCATGCCTCAGCCTCCCAACTAGCTGGGATTACAGGTGCCTGCCACCATGCCCAGCCTAATTCTTATATTTTTAGTAGAGATGGGGTTTCACCATATTGACCAGGCTGGTCTCGAACTCCTGGCCTCATGTGATCTGCCCACTTTGGCCTCCCAAAGTGCTGGTATTACAGGTGTAAGTTATTGCACCCAGTCTGAAACATTCGTTTTAAAAGAGACTTTTGTATTAACCTTATAGTCATTAGAATGTGTAAACATATTACTGATTAAAATGTAATCATTTTAGTTTAACTGGTTTAACAGCTTATTTTAGGCAAAAAAAAATAAAAAATAAAAAAAAAAATAAGAAGGGGGAGCAAGAAGAAGGAAAAAAGAGAAAAAGTGGAAGAACAAGGGGAAGAATTAAGTGAAAGGAAGAACTAATCTCCCAGTCCTCCCTATGGATAGCAGTGCCTCCCAGAGGGTGGCCCGCCATCAGCTGCATCAGATTTGCTGGGGATACTTAAAAATATAAGTAACTGAGGCCGGGCTCAGTGGCTCACACCTGTAATCCCAGCACTTTGAAAGGCCAAGGTGGGAGGATCTTGACTCAGGAGTTCAAGGCCAACCTGAGCAACACAGTGAGACCTCATCCCTACTAAAATTTTAAAAAAATTAGCCAGGCATGGTGGCACATGCCTGTATTTCCAGCTACTTGTGGGGCTGAGGTGGGAGGATTGCTTGAACCCAGGAAGTTGAGGCTGTAGTGAGCCCTCAACTGTACCACTGTACTCCAGCCTGGGTGACAGAGTAAGACCTTATCTTTAAGCGGGGGAAGGGGGTGGAGTAGATAACTGATCCCCATCTACAGAATCGGCATCTGTGAGTGGAATCCAAGGATCTGTTATCAAGTTACCCTAGTAATTCTGAGAAGCACTAAAGTTTGAGAACTACCCTTAAGGGAAGTGACTAATTAGCTCATGAAAGTGACACCAAACCCCACCGTCTACTTAGAGCAGCTCACCCCATCCTAAACCGAGGCAAATATCCTAGCAGCTGGCACAAAGCTTCCCAGATTCGAAACCTCCCCAATCTAAACCTGTTAAGGAAAGCAGAGCATCTCTATTGCACAGAGATTGATGTAACAATACTTTCCAAAATTAAATGATTGAGAAGTATCCATTGGAATAGCATTTCACCTTGACCGTTATTGAGCATCATGATCATGTGAGCTGACATTTACTGAGTGCTTACTATATGTCAAACATTGGGTTAATTGCTTTACACTTATTCATCTCATTTCATCCTTAGAGCAAAACTCTGTAGTGGGTGCTATTCTTTATCTCCACTTTAGAAATGAGGGTAGCAGGCTGGGCGCAGTGGCTCACACCTGTAATCCCAGCACTTTGGGAGGCTGAGGCAGGTGGACCACCTGAGGTCAGGAGTTTGAGACCAGCCCGGCCAATGTGGCGAAATCCCGTCTCTACTAAAAATACAAAAAATTAGCCAAGAGTGGTGGTGGGTGCTGTAATCCCAGCTACTCAGGAGGCTGAGACAGGACAATTGCTTGAACCCAGGAGGTGGAGGTTGCAGTGAGCCAAGATCATACCACAGCACTCCAGCCTGGGTGACAGCGAGAGCGAGAGCACAGAAGGAAGGAGAAAAGAAAGAAAGATGGGAAAAGAAAAGAAAAGAAAAATGGAAATAAATGAGGGGAGGGTAGCAGAGAAAGATAACTGAGAATGACAAGGAGTTGAGAATCCAGGTGGGCTACAGGATGGTAAGCAGAGCAGGGCCTTATGGCCCCAGGAGACCTAGTTCCAGTTGGGTTCTTTCCTTACCCACAAATCCACCAACAGCAGCGTAGCCTCTGGGACAAATGCCCACAAACGCCCAGGGAAAATGTTCCAGGTGGTTGAGAATGCAATTCCTAATGAAAGCTTGGAAAATGAACTATGCCTCAGTTCAGTCATCCAGAAATAGGGTTAATGTTTTACTCCTGGCAGGGCGCAGTGGCTCACACCTGTAATCCCAACACTTTGGAAGGACAAGGCAGGAAGATGGCCTAAACCCAGGAGTTGGAGACCAGCCTGAGCAACACAGTGAGACTCCATCTCTAAAAATAAATAAATAAATAGGCATGGTGGTGCATGCCTGTAGTCCCAGCTACTGGGGAGGCTCAGGTGGGAGGATCCCTTGAGCCTGGGGGGATTGAGACTGCAGTGAGCCATGACTGTGCCACTACACTCCAGCCTGGGCAACAAAGTGAGACCCTGTCTCTGGGGAAAAAAAAACAAACGACAACTTTTTTTCATCACTAGGTTCTTTTCTGATACACAACCAAGTAAGTACTAAGGAATTTTGAAAAGCAAAAGCACCAGACAAAAGGCATCCCAATTTTTCTTTAAGACAGTTGGGGATTAGCTTGGTTTCTCAGATGTTAAAAAAAAAAAAAAAAGAAAAAGTGAAAAAGACAGGTGGGGAAAACATTCCCAAGATAGTTTTTAAAAATTCGTGGTAACAAAATCCTTGTGTTAAATGGTAGGAAATACAGGTTAACATCTACTCAGCCCATCCCAACTCCCGTTCTCTGCAATTTCGCCTCTGCCAGCTGCGTTTATATGTAACCCGGACTGTGGGCCACAGCTGAGCTAGCTCAAGCACGGACAACTGGCGAGACCTGGACCAGTGGGGGGTCTCTGTCTCGGGATTCAGAGAGAACTAACCAGCGTCTTCCGGAGGCCAGAGCGAAGGGTGTGTGTCTGGGATTTGTGGAGCTGCCACAGGCAGGGGCAAGCACAGCACCCTGGTTCTCAGGGAGGACGAAAGCCTGTATGCTCAGGTGGAAATGTGTGACCACAGGCACCAGACAGAGAAAGAGGACAGAGCCTGGGCCCCTGTCAGTGCCCCCATTCCCAGACCGGGCTCGGACTCATCCGGCCTTTTTTTTGCTACAGCCAGGACATGTGGATTTCTGGTTTTTTGTTTTTTTGTTTTGTTTTGTTTTGTTTTGTTTTGTTTTGTTTTTTTGAGATACAGTCTCAACTCTCACCCAGCCTAGAGTGCAGTGACGCAACCTTGGCTCACTGAAACCTCTACCTCCCGGGTTCGAGTGATTCTTGTGCCTCGGCCTCCTGAGTAGCTGGGACTACAGGCGAGCACCACCATGCCCAGCTAATTTTTGTATTTTTAGTACAGATAGGGTTTCACCATGTTGTCCAGGCTGGAACTCCTGACCTCAGGTGATCCACCCACCTTGGCCTCCGAAAGTGCTGAGATTACAGGCGTGAGCCACTGCGCCCAGGCTGGATTTCTGTTTTTTGCAGCCAAAAAAAAAAAAAAAAAAAGGACTGAAAGGACTGACATGTGCAAAGCAGCAAGCTCCATCGCCCTTTGAGGAACCACGACCCCAAGGGTCGCCATACCTGCCTCTGTTGTTTCTCCTGAAACAAGGCTCCATCCATGGCTCCAAGTCACCTTGGGATTTTATCCCAGCCTAAGCCTGGCTCACCTGTGCCCCAGTACTACCTCCCTGCACCTCAGCTGAACCTGTCCACACTCTCTGGCTCTGTTTTACAGTTGCCACCTGGACAATGGACCAGACAACCATTCTAACTCAGGGTTAGAGCCCACTGTCATTCAACTGCCCAGGCTCCTCGTGTTGACCATTGTTTTCCATCTTCCCCCCATTTTAAAACAGAGCAAACCCTGAATGCAATGCAATGCATACTACTGACTGGAAGCCTGAAAGCCTGGGAGCAGATTTAGCCTCTTTCTACCTAAATCCACCAAACAGCGGGGAAACGGCACCTCCGGAAAACTCAGAAAACTCATGAAGTCCACAGAAATCCTCCGTTCTGCCCTTAATCTGAAGGGCCCTGGGGTTCCTCTTTCCCCACCCCTCTCAGACTCTCTCCCACTGCAGAGTCCTCAGCTGTACCTGGGATATAAATGGCGCCACCATTGCACCAATGCGACACAGGGAGCCGCTGGTTCCCATCCCCAAAGCACGCATAGTGGTGGGGTAGACCTGCAGGGAGAGGCATAGAAAGTACCAGTCAGATAATGTCCGTCCTTCCCCGAGCCCTCCTCTTCCCTTTCCTCCCCAGGTCAGGCTTTGGAATGCATCCAGTACCAAACACAGTTACAGAATATGGAGCGGAAGGTGTTCATTTTCTCAGGTACACAACTTTGAATTTTTGGGACAATATCAGCAAAAAATAAAGACTTCAAAATTATACTTTAAATGAGCAAATTCCAAAAATGTGTTTCACTGAATATTCCAAATATAATTTTAGAAAGACAAGCTCTGGAATCAGAGAGAAGAGCACCACTTCAGAACTATAAATATATACAAGTGATTCTACTGAATGGAAAGAAAATACTCCTCAAAGATCCGATGAAGTCTTCAATACAAATACAGCTAAGAGAATTAACCAGAGGGCCAGGTACTTGCCACACCATTCCCTGTGCTCTTATTTTTACTTCTTTTCTTTTTAAAAATTAGAGATGGGATCTTACTATGTTGGCCGCACTGGTCTTGAACATCTGGCCTCAGCAATCCTCCCACCTCAACCTCCCAAAGTGCTGGGATTAGAGACATGAGCCACTGTACCTGGCCCCTGTGTTCTTGTTAAATTCCCTAGCCTCTTTGCTGTTGCAGAATCTTATAGCATTTTCCTTCCTTCCTTCCTTCCTTCCTTCCTTCCTTCCTTCCTTCCTTCCTTCCTTCCTTCCTTCTTCCTTCCTTCCTTCTTCTCCTTCCTCCTCCCTCCTCCCTCTCCTTCCTTTCTTTTTCTTCTTCCCTCCCTCCCTCCCTCCCTCCTTCCTTTCTTCTTCCTTCCCTCCCTCCCTCCCTCCCTCCTTCCTTCCCTCCCTCCAGAGTCTCATCACTCTGTCACCCAGGCTGGAGCACAATGGTGCAATTTTGGCTCACTGCAACATCCACCTTCTGGGTTCAAGTGATTCACCTGCCTCAGCCTCCCAAGTAGCTGGGATTACAGGCGTGCACCACGGTGCCTGGCTAATTTTTGTATTTTTAGTTGGGGGTGGGGAGGGTCTCTCCATGTTGGCCAGGCTGGTCTGGAACTCCTGACCTTAGGTGATCTGCCAGCCTCAGCCTCCCAAAGGGTTGGTGAACCACCATGCCCAGCCCTTTTTAACATTTTATTAAATTTTTCATTTTATAGACAATGTCTCGCTATGTTGCCCAGACTGGTATCAAACTCCTAGGCTCAAGCGATCTTCCTGCCTCAGCCTCCCAAAGTGCTGAGATTACAGGTATGAGCCACCATGCCCAGCCATATTCTACTTTCTTGCTGCAACTTGTTGATATTTATAGTAAAATCTAATTGGTTTTTCATTGATTCAGAATTCGTAAAGGAACTAGAAGTTTAATAAGTCAGCAAGTCTTATTGAATAAATAGAATTGTAGGGAGAATACTTTCTAGGAAAGAATGGTTTCTCAAAATGTTGGAACATGTTCTTAGTGCTATAAAATACTGACAAAACAGGTTTATCAACTCTCTAAGGCAAAGCATGTAGCCCCCTTTAGTTGCCCACATCTTTGCCACCATCTGTCAAATGCAAAAAGCAAGATGCTTTCTGCCTCACAGGACACTGCTATATTTACAGGAGAAGGTCTGGGGGTGGAATATCTTTATGCGGAGCTTTCTTATTTTCTGAAAAATGAGGTTGCTATGACTGAAAATAATGAATTCAGGTGATGGCTTCTTTGCTGTAATACTGATAAAGTCTTTTGTTCACATTGTGAGTCACCTGGAAGATGGAATAACAGAAAACTATCATTTTTAGTTATACATCTTTTTTGAAAAACAATATAAAAAATAAAATACTGGCCATGCGTGGTGGCTCATGCCTGCAATCCCAGCACTTTGGGAGGCCGAGGCGGGCAGATAATGAGGTCAGGAGATCAAGAAAGACCATCCTGGCTAACACAGTGAAACCCTGTCTCTGCTGAAAATACCAAAAATTAGCCAGGTATGGTGGTGGGCGCCTGTAGTCCCAGCTACTCGGGAGGCTGAGGCAGGAGAATGGTGTGAACCTGGGAGGTGGAGCTTGCAGTGAGCCGAGATCGCACCACTGCACTCCAGCCTGGGCGACAGAGTGAGACTCGGTCTCAAATAAATAAATAAATAAATAAACAAACAATAAATAAAATACTTAGAAATGACCCTCAAAATGAGCAAATTCCAAAATACGTTTGACTGTCCATCTCAAACGCAATTCTAGAAGTACACCATGTTACTCATAGTTTTTTTGGTTTATACATTTACAAAATAACTTTAGATTTGTTTTTGTTTTCAGTTATGCAAACTTATTTTCTTAACTATGCAAAATTATGTAAAGTCAATTTTTTTTTTTTTTCTTTTTGAGACTGAGTCTGTCACCAGGCTGGAGTGCAGTGGTGTGATTTCGACTCACTGCAACCTTTGCCTCCCAGGTTCACACAATTCTCCTGCCTCAGCCACCCAAGTAGCTGGGATTACAGGCACCCACCACCATGCCTGGATGATTTTTGCATTTTTAATAGAGATGGGGTTTCACCATGTTGGCCAGGCTGGTCTCAAACTCCTGACGTCAAGTGATCCACCTGCTTCAGCCTCCCAAAGTGCTGGGATTACAGGCGTGAGCCACCGCACCCAGCCAATTAATTTTTATTCTAGGAATTTCATGTTGTAATTCCTTCCACTGTCCATCAAGTTCACCTTTGTTCCCCTACAGAGCTGGAGTAAAATTTATCGTCAAAAGATCTTCAAGTTAGCCCTTTCTAATAGAACTGATACTTAATCCAGTTGTCCTGTCAGCCCATAATTCTTTTATTTTGGCTTCTTTCATCTCCTTTTAATATGGATATACTGATGAAGACTTCAAAATTCACCAAAAATCTTTGGGATCTAATTTCTTCAATAATTTACTGTAGGGTCATTTTTGGAGTAGGTGGATCTGCCTCGTTCTCCATTTGATGCCCTCTGTGAATATGCGTGAGTTCAAATCATATTCATTCCTAAGCTATCAGCTCGAAAGTGATGCAGACCTGTGGAATATGTCAATACCTTTAGCCCCAGACATCATGTCGATAAAAGCCTTTAAAACAAAAGTCATATGATATATATCAAGTCAACAAGTGGAATACAAAATTGATATAGCCAGATTTTCTCATATACTAAGCTTTGCAAGCTACATTGATGATCCTAGAACCTAAACTTTGTTGTTTTTTAATTTAGAGCAGGGTCTAACTTACCACTTTTCCCAGGCTGGAGTAGTGGTGCTATCCAGAACTCACAGCCTCCCAACTCCTGGGCTCAAGCAATCCTCCTGCCTCAGCCTCCTCCTAAGGCGCTACAATTACAGGTGCACCTCGCAGCTGCTTATTTTGTGGAGATGGGGTTTTGGTTTCTTACTTGGCTGGTCTTGAACTCTGGCTTCAAGTGAATTATCCCACCTCAGCCTCCCAAATTCAAAGTTTGGGCATGACCCTGCGTAGCCTGGAACCAACCTTTATGGTTATCAATACTCCAATCATTTTAAGTGTCTCAGGTATGTAATACCCTTCTTATTTATGGTAAAACATACTGGTGTGAGTTCCGGTTCCAAAGTTGATTTTTTTGTATGTCTATAAATTGCTTTAGATTTTGTTGTAGAACCTAAATGAAGTATTATGTATACTTTCAGAACATCTCATAACTTTCTATTTTATCTTATTGGGAAAAAAGTACTTTTCTCTGCAGGTTTAATGGTTTTGACATGCCAAATCACCAATTACAATAGACTTCCCAACATCTCATAGCTTTCTATTTTTATCTCTGTGTGGGAGAAAAAGTACTTTTCTCTGCAGGTTTAATGGTTTTTGACATGCCAAATCTTTAATTGCAATAGACTTCCCCATTTCCTGCCATGAAGCTGAAGGCAGCTGTATTAGTGTCTAAAGCACTGTTTCCTGTAGCTCAATGAATGACAAAACCAGTTAAAATACTGTTAAGTTCCCTATTCAAATATTGTTTCATTTCCAGGAATATTGGTTCTTTAAAGTGGGAGGTTTATGAGGAAAACTCCAGCTACCTCAGGCAGTACCTTGCACATAGATGTATTAATTCAATAAATTAATACAGAATAAATCAAGATTATATTCAAATTTAAGCTACATGCAGCAAATAACAGATGGAGGGAAAGGGATCTTCCAAAAGAATAAAAGTGAAAAATGTATTCTGATTTCAAAAAGAGAGAAAGGAAATTCTACATTTGACAGTAACGTGTTGCTACCTATTACTTCTGGAAGCCTAGTGCTAGGGCAAGGAGGTGGTTTTTACATGCAAGCTATTTAAAGAAAGGAAGAAGATCCTGTCTTCCAGAGATTGGCTTTCAATAGACTGAACGGGGAAGGGGAAATTCACACCAAATAAACTTCTGGTGTCTTTTTAACAGATTGTTTTTAGAAAATTATCAAAAGTCAACAGAAACCAGGGATGCATTACCTTTGGATGAACACCCTAAGTAGCTCACCTTAGACACCCTGTTGTAAGCAAGCCCTGCGTGAAAACTCACCTCAGCTGTGTAAATGTAGATAGTGTTGAAGTTTGCAGCTACCAGGGCCCTCAGCATGAAGAGGAAGCCAATCAGGCCGGCACTAGAAAACAGGAAGTGGAGAGAAATTATAAAAGGCAGCATGGTGGACCACCTCCCGTGGCCCAGTTCCAAGTGCACTGTGGATGATAAGACACACCCACAGATAACCCAGAAACCGAGGGAGGTGCTGCTTCTCAGCTGGCCTGATTGTGGGGTCCTTAAGCAAACCTCCTTCCAATCTTACTCCCCGCTGCCCTCTCCTTTCCCCAGTGCTGCCATTCAGCCTGGCCCCTCACGTTAGCACACCTGCTGGGCACGGTGGTTCACACCTGTAATCCCTGCACTTTGGGAGGCTGAGAGAGCTAGATCACTTGAGGCCAGGAGTTCAAGACTAGCCTCAGCAACATAGTAAGACTTTTTTTTTTTCTTTTTTTTTTTTAAGACAGAGTCTGGCTCTGTTACCCAACCTGGGGTGCAGTGGCACGATCATGGCTCACTGCAGCCTCAACCTCTCAGGCTTAAGTGATCCTCCCACCTCAGCCTCTTGGGTAGCTGGGACTATAGGCATCAAAAACCACACTCAGCTAATTTTTGTATTTTTTGTAGAGATGGGGTTTTGCCATGTTGTCCAAGCTAATCTTGAACTCCTGGGCTCAAGTGATCTACCCGCTTCAGTCTCCCAAAGTTCTGGGATTACTGGTATGAGCCACCAGATTTTTTTTTCAATTGACCCAGCATGGTGGTGTGTGCCTGTAATCCTAGCTACTCAAGAGGCTGAGGCAGGAGGATGGCTTGAGCCCAGGAGTTAGAGGCTGCAGTGAGCTGAGATCGCATTACTGCATTCCAGCCTGGGTGACAAGGTGAGAGACTCTGTCTCAAAGAAAAAAAAAAATTAGCACACCTGCTGCTACCATCCCCTGGAAAACAGTGCAGAGAACTTGTAGAATAAATGATACATATCAGAGCTCAGGTCACTCCAGGACTGCAAATTAAGAGTGAAATGAGCAGAAGGCTCAAATAAGCACACTGTCTGTATTACTAAACTTTCTTGGCATTGGTTCAAATAATGTGATAAACAACCAGAGCCCCGATTCTCCAGGAAGCATTACATAACGATCCTCAATGTTTTGGTAGGTAAAGTGAGTACACCATCATTGGCACCCATAATCCTGTGATAGCTGGAGGAAGATGGGGTCTGTAGGAAGAGGGAAGGGGGTAGTAGGGAACAGGCAAGACCATTCTAGTCAAACAAGCAGCCCACTCTCCACTCTCCTGGGTGAAAGGGACTTGTCCCTGAAACTACTGAACACCATGGGTCAGGAGACTCCATTTAGAAACCACTGCAAAAAACCTGAAGCAACTAACCAGAAAATACCTTGAAGTGCAAATGTTGAGGAGAAGGAAGAATAAAGCCGTGCATCCCATGGTAATGGAAAGGCTCAGCCGTCTTCCCAGGAAATTGATGCCCAGGATATTTAAAGGATTCACTAGAAAGCAAACAGTAAAGATAATTTCTGGAACCTTGGAAGGCAAGTGCCATATTGCAACACTGGCATGGATTCATCCTTGTCGTTTCAGAAAGAAGCAACATCATCCAAACCTCATGAGTATTCCAGCCAAAATCCAGTCACGTTGTCATCAATTTCAAGACTTTTTACATATACTTTACCCACGTGGGTCCAGGAATTATAAGTACTGGTGCCCAGGATATTTATTATATCATGCAGGTCTATTGTAGATTGCCAGCTTGCCAGGCCTATATTTTAAGTGTTTTATATGTTTTCATCAAATTCAAGGTGCCTTTGATTTTTTTTCATCGGCTCAATTTAACATTCAGCTATTGATTTTTAAGTACCATCATTTTATGTCTACTAAAATAGAAATAATGCTGTCAATTGCGATCTAACAAGCCATTGTAAGCCACATTCCAATTTCAGAGATGTTAAAATGTAAGGGCGAAAAAAACACCTTACAATTGATAGAATACAGCACTTCAAAGCTCTACTCCTCCAGACTTCTCTTGCCAACACCAATCCAAATTGGAGATTTTTCAGCACTACTTTGTGACTTACTCAGTTCTACTAGGCAGGAGCAGCATCACAGCATCACACTTCTCTCAGCTAAGACTCAAGTGCACATACACCACCCAAGACAGAGACCCGACATGCAGAGGGACACTTACAAGCAATTTCACCAATGGTGCTGATGATCATGGTCCGATAGTCAGAGGGTGCAAACATGTGGCAATAGCAAGGGCTCTGGCTCTCCCCTGAGTCGCCCCCAGTCACCACCACCTCAGAGTCTGCCTTTGAACCACAGACCAGGTCCCGCTCCAGCAGCTCAGCACTGGCCAGGATAACCCCATAGTAGGCAAAAGAGATTCCGAGCCTGGAAGTGAGAAAAGAATGTCACTAGCAAACGCTGAGACCAGACCTGAAGGATGAGTGGGGAGGGGATACCAAGTGGAACGTGCAGCATGTGGAAAGCAAAGAGAGCAGAAAGTCAGGTTCAGATGCCACACAGAGCATTTGTGGAAGTATCTCTTACACATCATACAGATGTACACATGCCTGTTGGGTATAAACCTAGGAGCGGAATTGCTGGGCCATAGTATACACATACTTCCAGCTGTAATAGAGACCTCCAGTTTTTCAAAGTGGCGGTACTAATTTGAACTCCAGTCAGCTGTGTATGAAAATTCCAGTTACAGCCTGGTGCGGTGGCTCACACCTGTAATCCCAGCACTTTGGGAGGCTGAGGTGGGTGGATCACGAGGTCAGGAGATCGAGACCATCCTGGCTAACACGGTGAAACCCTGTCTCTACTAAAAATACAAAAAATAAGCCGGGTATGGTGGCGGGCGCCTGTAGTCGCAGCTACTCCAGTGGCTGAGGCAGGAGAATGGCGTGAATCCAGGAGGCGGAGTTTACAGTGAGCCACTGCACTCCAACCTGGGAAACAGCCAGACTCCGTCTCAAAAAAAAAAAAAAGAAAGAAAATTCCAGTTACTTTGCCTCCTTCTCAACCCTTGGTATTGTCAGTTTTTCATTTTAGCCATTCTCTTGGACTGGCGGATTTGTAATGGTATCTTGTTGGGTTTTAATTTGCATTTCCCTGGCGACTTTAAGGTTGAGCATGTTTTGACGTGTTTATCTGGTATACGTTTTTGGTGAAGTGCCTGTTCAAGTCTCTTGCCTATTTCTAAATTGGGCTGTTGGCCAGGCATGGTGGCTCATGCCTGTCATCCCAGCACTTCGGGAGGTTAAGGCAGGAAGACTGCTTGAGGCCAGGAGTTTCAGACCAGCCTGGGCAACAAAGCAAGACCCATTCTATAAAAGCAAAATAAAATAAATTTTAAAACTTAAAAAATTTTTAAAAACTTAAATAAACTGAGTTGTCTATTTTTTCCTGTTAAAAAAATTATATGTCTAATATATAGCATATTTTTTATATATGTGTGTGTGTGTGCGCACACACGCGCGTGTGTGTATATATATATAATTTGCTGGAAATATACATTGCAAATTTCTTCTTCCCATGGATGGCTTACCTTTCAGGCTCTTCATGATTTTTTTTTTTTTTTGAGGCAAAGTTTCATTCTGTCACCCAGGCTCGAGTGCCGTGGCACAATCTTGGCTCACTGCAACTTCCACCTCCTGGGTTCAAGCGATTCTCTTGCCTTGGCCTCCCAAGTAGCTGGGATTACACCCAAGTAGCTGGGATTACAGGCACCCACCACCACACCCAGCTAATTTTTTTGCATTTTTAGTGGAAACAGGGTTTCTCCATGTTGGCCAGGCTGGTCTCGAACTCCTGACCTCAGGTGATCTGCCCATCTCAGTCTCCCAAAGTGCTGGGATTACAGGCGTGAGCTACCACATCCAGCCTTTTTCATGATATCTTGACACTGTTCCTAAGTTCATAATTTAATGTATTAAAACTCATCAATCTTTTCCTATATAGTTAGCATGTTTTCATCCTGTTTAGAAAATCTTTGCTTACTCAAGGTCATGCTGCAGAGAAATGAAACACAGAGGGTACCACAAGAGTCTATGCCATTGGACTTAATGATTGGTGACTTCAAAGGACAAGTTTCTGTCATGTGGTGAGGAAAAAGACCAGGCTGCAAAAGTTAGGAAGTGAGCTCATATGCTCATAAGAAAAATTTGAAAATTGGTTGAAGACAATTAGGGATTTTTCCTCTATCTGTCTATGTATCTATTTACTTATTTAGTGGTAGTGGTGTTTGTAGAATGACAAGACATTGCTTGTCTTTGTAATATTTGGAGTTGGTCTTATGTTTTTCTCCCCAGTGGCACTCACATAGATTTACTTAAATAGGCTTCCTCCCAATGCCTCTATTTAAAACTAGTTTTGAAATAATTACACTCTTACCATATGACCCAGATCTGTAACGTGGTCCGTAAATATTTAGCATCCAATAGGTCTGCAAATCTTCCTCTTTTTTCCTGGGGTAATAATGAAAAGAGGGAGACAGAATATACTCAGCAGGTTAAGGATGAACGAAAGTTTCCACTGTTTTCGATCACAGAAGATGAGAATCATTTTGGAGCATGGTGGCCTGGGATAACCACTCAGCTCCTATGAATACAGCTGACACAAACCCAGAGATAATTGCTTTAAACCCATCTGTCTCAGCCAGATCTGTCTTTTGGCTTTTTCTTATCATTGACAATTACCAAAGTTCACTGAACTTAAGATCCTAACCTTTTGCTCTTCCTCTGCTCACCAGCACTGGTGCGGGGGTGGGGAGGGTAGGAGGACACATGCAAAGTAACTGTGAAACTGATGAGAGATTCTTCTAAAATTAGCATTAAAACGAAAACTCTTATATTAAAAGAATATGAGACTTGTTAAGAAAACAACGGCATAAAGTTGAAAAAGGACAGAATGCCTAATTTCTTTTTCTGTCTCTAAGGGGTGTAGTTAGCAAAAGTTCTTGTCCATAGTACCTATTCAATACCTTCGGATAAAAACAAGTAACAATGGGCTGGGTGTGGTGGCTCACGCCTGTAATCCTAGCACTTTGGGAGGCCAAGGCAGGTGGATCACCTGAGGTCGGGAGCTCAATACCAGCCTGACCAACATGGCGAAAGCCCGTCTCTACTAAAAAGACAAAAATTAGCCGGGCGTGGTGGAGCATGCCTGTAATCCCAGCTACTTGGGAGGCTGAGGCAGGAGAATCGCTTGAACCCAGGAGGCGGAGGTAGCAGAGAGCCGAGATCACGCCATTGCACTCCAGCCTGGGCAACAAGAGTGAAACTCCGTCTCAAAAAAAGAGGAAAAAAAAAAAACAAGGAAGAGTTACCTGATGGCACAGTAATCGATTTTTATGTAAAGCTAGGAATGCTTCAGATGAGGGCACGCCGTTGAAGACCAACAGCTCTTTTCTCAGAAAGAGACCTGGGATTACAGGCTCTTTCTAGAGACACCGGGAATGTGGTCCTTGGGTGCCCCAGATTTTGTTATCACAGAAAGTTAGAGTTTGAAGGTAACTTAGAGGCCTTTTGCTCCAATGGTTAATTTTTAATTTTTGTGGGGCACATAGTAGGTATGTCTATTTATGGGGTACCTGAGCTGTTTCGATACAGCTCATGAAATAAGCACATCATGGAAAATGGGGTACCCATCCCCTCAAGCGTCTATCCTTCAAGTTACAAACAACCCAATTATGTACCTCAAGTTATTCTAAAATGTACAATTATTATTAACTATACTCACTGTTTTGCTATCAAATAGTAAGTCTTATTCTATTTTTTCTGGCACACATTAACCATCCCCACCTCCCCTTATCCTTCCACTACTCTTCCCAATCTGACCAAGGCCCGCTGCACATTCCCGTATCTGGTCTCAGCGCACATCTCCTGGGGCCTGCAGTGCCCTCTCCCCTCCCCAAAGGCTTTTTTCCTTTTTTTTTTTTTCTTTGAGGAGTCTCACTCTGTCACCTGGGCTGGAGTGCAGTGGCGTGATCTTGGCTCACTGCAACCTCCGCCTCCCAAGTTCAAGTGATTCTTGTGCTTCGGTTTCCCAAGTAGCTGGGACTACAGGTGTGCACAAAATCGCCCAGCTAATTTTTGTAATTTTAGTAGAGACGGGGTTTTACCATGTTGCCTAGGCTGGTGTTGAATTCCTGACTTCAGGTGATCCACCTGCCTTGGCTTCCCAAAGTGCTTAGATTACAGGCATGAGCCACCACGCCCGGCAGGCTCACTCTCCTTTTAGTGTTCAGTTTATGTCCCATTTATCCCCGGAAGAGGCTCAGACTGCCATGGCTTAGTCCCTTCTGCTCTGATCACACACATACACCTACACCCCACCTGGTTCTAAGCATCTGGGCTCTGTTATTTATTCCTTCATATGTGATGCTCATTTCATTAACCAGATTGTAAGATTGTGACCAAACCAAAGGCAGGGTCTACTGCCAGTAGCTCTGGGCCTTGCTCAAGAGATGACTGTGGAGGGCCGGACGCAGTGGTTCACGCCTGTGATCCCAGCACTTTGGGAGGCCAAGACAGGTAGATTACCTGAGGTCAGGGGTTCAAGACCAGCCTGGCCAACATGGTAAAACCCCATCTCTACTAAAAATGCAAAAAAATTAGCCATGTGTGATGGCATGCACCTGTAATCCCAGCTGCTCGGGAGGCTGGGGCAGGAGAATCGCTTGAACACGGGAGGTGGAGGTTGCAGTGAACCAGGATCACGCCACTGCCTTCCAGCCTGGGTGACAAGAGCAAGACTCCATCTCAAAAAAAAACAGATGACTGTGAAGAAGATCACTTAATGGGCATGACAGATGGAGGCCGAAAGCTGAAGGCTTAAGAAAAGTGGAGAGGAGGAGGAAGGGGGGACAGAAGGATGGAAGAGGGAAGGTGAAGAATGGGGGATGAAGAAGGCGGAGGGAGAGGTGAGGTAGGAGAGGAAAAGCAGAGGAAGTGGGATGTGGAGGGAGGAGCCAGACAGAGGAGCAAGGGGTGGAAAGGAAGGATGGAGAATGTGCAGGGAAGATGGGAGATAGGGGATTGTGGAGGGAGGATGGTGGAGGCAGGAAAAAGGAGGAGGAAAGAGGAGAGATAACTTATTTCTGACCTCAGTGCTCTTCAGTCCTAGAGTTCCAACTACTGCATTCAGTTCACAAAGCACATGCCAAAAACAGTTGTGCTCAGCTATCTTATAATCTTACAGCTATCCGTGGTTTTGAGTTAATTATCTCTGCTAAGATTTTTTCTTTTTGCAACTATTTTTATTGTTTACACTATTGACAATCAGAATTTTACAGCCACCTAAAGATTATGTTCCAGTCTCTATAAACCATAATAGTTTCCTTCTTTTAATCATAGTTGCCTAGCAACTAGTTCATCCTCCCACCCTGCTTTGCTGGGTAAGAGGTGATTGTCAGTATCTCAGTAGGAAGGAAGAAGGGAGCTGACGCTGTAATAGTAGCTTTCTGAACTCCAAACCCATGAGAGTGTATTTCCAATATTTAAAAATAAACTAGTATGATGGAATCATTCTGAATCCTTTGGAAGAAAATTGGGGTTTCTTGTTTAATATGGTTTGGTTATTTGTCCCCTCCAAGTCTCAAGTTGAACTGTGATCCCCAGTGTCGGGGGTGGAGCCTTATGGGAGGTATTTTGGTCATGGGGGCGGATCCCTCATGAAGGGCTTGGTGCTCTCCCTGCAGGAATGAGTGAGTTCTCACTCTGGTTCATGCGACAGCTGGTTTAAAGGAACCTCGCACCTCTCTTGCTCCCTCTCTCACCATGTAATGTGCCTGCTCCCTGTTCACTTTCTGTTGTGAATAGAGGCTTCCTGAGGCCTCATCAGAAGCCCTGCAGAGGCTGGTGCCATGCTTATACAGTCTGCAGAACCATGTGCCAAATAAACCTCTTTTAACAGTCACCCAGTCTCAGGTATTCCTTTATAGCAATGCAAAACGAACAGACGCACTGCTCCAGGATTATAATAGGTTTTGAGATACATATAATAACGGGGGCAACACTCCACAGAAGCAAGTGAGAATACCTTACCAAAATACAATGATGAATATGGGGAAGGCTTGGCATACCGAATGCTCACGATATTTGCATTACTATGGAGCACACGCCACCTCACTCTTAAAATGCAGGCCAGATGGTAGTGGGATTCAAGACTTTTGTCATCAGTGATGTCCTCAGCAACCAATCAGGAACACCCAGGGCAGCCCACCTCTTGCCTGTGTGTAGGACACTCAGACATCACTTGTCCCATGGCGGCTACAGGATCCTGAGAATGCAAAGATTCAGGGCTGGGTAGCACTGCTGGTATGGACCCATCTCAGACACAGAGCATGAGCTGAGGGCAGAAGAGCCTTTCCCATGGTCCTGCCTGCCCCAGCAAGGTTGTGCGCCAGCAGCTTTTCTCTGTACCTCCTGGTCTCCCTGTCATGCATTCATTCCCTGCCTTGGCATTGATGCCATCTCATTCTACCAGATGTCTAGTATCCTTGGATCCTGTCCTTCCTCATCCTATCAAAATCTGGGGGTCTGGTGCGGTGGCTCATACCTATTATCCCAGCACTTTGGGAGGCAGAGATGAGAGGACTGCTTGAGGCCAGGATTTGAGACCAGCCTAAGCAACATAGCAAGACCTCATCTCTATTAAAAAATAAGAAAATTAAAGCCAGGCACGGTGGCTCATGTCTGTAATTCCAGCACTTTGGAAGGCCAAGGTGGGAGGATCAGTTGGGGCCAGAAATTTAAGACCAGCCTGGGCCAGTGAGACCCTTTTGCAACAAAATAATTAAAAAAAAAAAAAAAAAATTAGCCAGGTGTGGTGGTGTGCACCCATGGTCCCAGCTATTCAGGAGGCAGAGGCAAGAGGATCACCTGAGCTCAGCAGGTTGAGGCTGCAATGCGCCAAGGTCACGCCACTGTATTCCAGCTTGGATGACAGAACAAGATCCTGTCTTTTAAAAAAAACAAGTAAATAAAAATGAAAAAATTAGCCAGGCATGGTGGCACATGCCTGCAATTTCAACTACTTTGGAGGCTGAGGTGGGAGGATTGCTTGAGCCCAGGAGTTCAAGACCAACCTGGGCAACATGTCAAAATCCTGTCTTTACAAAAAAATTGTACAAAAATAGCCAGGCGTGGTGGCACACTCCTGTAGTTCTAGCTACTCAGGAGCTTAGGCAGGAGGATTGCTTGAGCCCAGGAGGTCAAGGCTGCAGTGAACCAAGATCACACCACTGCACTGCATCCTGGGTGACAAAGCAAGATCCTGTCTCAGAAATTTTAAAAACAGTTAATATGGACCGGGTGCAGTGGCTTATGCCTGTAATCCCAGCACTTTGGGAGGCCAAGGCAGGTGGATCACCTGAGGTCGGGAGTTTGAGACCAGCCTAACCAACATGGAGAAACCCCGTCTCTACTAAAAACACAAAATTAGACGGGTGTGGTGGCGCATGCCT